TCTTCTACTCATTTTCAAACACACATTTTTTAATAAAATAATACTTTTCATCACATCAATAATTTTTTTTTTCAACCACACATTCTCCATCAATCTACTATTCAAAAATACATTCTTCCAAATAATATGGTTCAAAGACACCCGTTAAAACGGTAAATCAAATCACGATAAGATCCTACCACACTTTATTTTCTACAAATAAAAAAATGTGTAATTGTTGACTTTTAATTTTGTGTACAGGATTTTAATTTATGAAAAGAAAATTAATTTTAATATATATATATATATATACTTCCGCTGTATTTTGTGAATGTTGATTTAGCCGATGGCAGGACTCAGAGAACTCAAAGGCATTCTCAAAGACAAAGCTTCACTGTTCAAAGCAAATCTCTCAACCAATCGCCCTTTGTCCTATGTTAACGTCACCGTCCTCCGCGCCACCACACACAGCACCACCTCTCCGCCTTCGGAGCACCGCCTCATCGCCGTCCTCTCCCTTGGCCACCGCTCAAGCATCATGGCAGATGCCTGCACTGAATCCATAATGAATCGCCTCCACAGAACCCACAGCCCTTACGTTGCCCTCAAATGTCTTTTTATTCTTCACAACATCATTTCTAAAGGATCCAGCAACCTCAGAAACCAGCTTATCTCCACCGGTGGCTATAATTTTCTTAATCTTTCCGAATTCAATTATAAGTCCAACATTGAAAAACGAGAGATTAGCTTGTGGGTTCGATGGTATGCAGGTTTCTTGGAACTTAACCTAATGGTAAGTAGGGTTTTGGGTTACTTTTCTCCTTCCCCATCTGTATTTTTTGACAGTAAGAGAGATTTGTTGAAGGAAATGAATACTCTGGTGGGTTTTATTGAAGGGATTTGTGAAGTTCCAGATTCTTTACACCTTCAAAGAAATGATTTACTGCATGAACTGATGATTTTGGTGGGAGAAGACTATCGAGCGGCTCAGTACCAGATCATTCCAAGACTCAGTAGTGACACAGACTTTGCGGATCAAATTTCCAGGTTGAGTTCAACAGACTCGTCCGAGTTGATTGCTTGTTTGAAGAGATTGGAGAATTGCAAGAAGCGATTGACAGAGGTTTTTGCTAACAGGAAACGACACGATGCATTTTGGGAGTTGATTAGTCAGAGAAAAATGGAGCTCGAGAAGATGACTGGAAACAGAGGAAGATCGCTGGTGTGGAAATGAAGAAATCGATTTGTTGAATGAGTAATAAGAAAATCCATTTTTAATAGCTCCCTGAGTTGTATATAATTTTCAACTTTCAAAATTTCCAGGCGTGATAATTCTTTCACTTGGAAAATACGAAGTTTTTTAATACAATGTACATTTGCGATTCGCCACTTGCCTTGCATCTCTTGATGGGTCGGGTCAATTCGGGTCGCCTAATTTGAGTCGGACCTAATTCAATTTTTAACTGTTGATTCTAAAAGTTAATATCACGGTCGAATTCTGAGTAAGTTACTATTAGGACTAAAGAGATAAATTAATTTATCTATTACGCCTAGTGGGAGGACATGGTTAATCTATCTATCTATCATTTTTTTTTTTTTTCTGGTCGAAAAATATGAACCTAATACATTTATAATATTTTTGGAAAGGAACGTTTATAATATTAAGGGCGTGTTCGGTACAGATT